CGTACTGGCTTCAGTCACAGCTCAGTCAGCTCTCTCACCTTTCAGACAGAGGGGTGGTGTGTTTGTACACAGCTCCTGCTGCTCACAGGCTACGTCTCCTCCAGGAGACCTATTCCTTCTCCCGGCACACAGACACCACGCAGAGCTCTGTCCTGGAGCACAACTCCAGCCAGGAGTCACACACACCTCTCCCATAACCCCGTCACAGCTCAGAGCCGTTAAATCAGGGAGCGTTACAACCTTAAAAACACATCTAGGAGCCCACACACAGTCACAACACAAAAGAACACCCGACAGATCAGAGTGGCCCCTGGGAACAAGTCCACTTCATGATAAGCACAGAACAGGAGGAGAACTCCAGAGGTGCATGTTCCTGTTCCCAAGGGGTAGGGAAAGATGAAGTAAAAAAACAAACCGCGATGAGCTTCAACCAGAAAAAAAGGAATTGTACCCGAACACCGGACCAAGAAAAGAAGTCTCCCCCCTCCTGCCCGTCTACACCAACCAAACCTGAAAACATCTCCCCCCTCGCTCTGAAACACCACTCCCCTGCCTTCATTCCCCCATCCCACCTCTCAGGGGGGCCTGTGTGGTCTCATGGTCCCTGTTTGAACACCTCCAGCACTGTGGTTTTGTTAACATGCAGCACCCAGGGGTGGGGGAAAAAGGCTGCAGCCTCACCAAGCAGTGGTGTAAAACAGGAAATGATTCAGCACAGAAACAGGTCAACATCTCAACAGCTAAAGCTTAAAAAAAGGCCAGTTTGTCCATTACAGCACCATCCTGCTAAACCGAGAACGGAGGATTAAAATACTAGTAAGTTTAGTACAGATATCTAACCCCTTCACAATAGAACAGTCCCCAACTGCGCTACAGTACAGATGACAGTTCAGAGTACAGCAGACAGGTGCAGTTATTACAACAGCAGCCTTGAGCTCAGTCAGCAAACCACAGTACATTATAGACATTTGACTATTACAATCAGTCAACTACAGGTGACAGTTTGGGACAAGTCTGCATCTTACACTACAATACAATAAACACTGGTGTGATGACAGTTTTAGAGATAGGTGAGTATTGCACTGAAGCACAGTCCACACATGAGGGTATTACAGCAGAATACAGGGCAGTACAGGACACAAGGCTAAGACTTACAATTAATCCACTCCAGATGACAGTTTCAGATAGAAATCTGTTACACTCAGAGACAGTAAAAGAGAATGATTACATTGTAAAAGTGGCAGTTTAGTATATTAGTCCATGTGTTACACTAGTAAATTCCACAGGCTTAAGTAAGACTGAACAGCACTGGTGTCAGGTTTAGATAAAAGTGAGTATAACAAGCCCACAGCAGTAATGGTTCACATAATACAGTAGAGAGGGTTGTGTATTACAATCAGTACAGATGACATTGTCCTATAATCCACAGTGCATGTTTAACACTGAAATACAGTACAGAAGAAATGTTACAGTATAGTACAAGTGCCAGTTCATCTATTACAACACCATACACTACAGCAGTCCGAGTATTAAGGAACAGTACAGATGACACTTTAACACCAATTTTACAACAGTACACAGGGTTGAGTATTACAATCAAGTACAGATGACATTGTCAGATCAAAATTCATCTTTTACTCACAAATATGGTAAAGAGTGATTACAACAGTGTAAAAGTGACAGTTCAGAAGAGTAGTCCACATATTACAATACACAGGTTTAGTATGACAGAATAGCACAGGTGACTGTTTTAAGTATTACAACCCCACAATGGTAACCGTTCACATAATACAGTACACAAGGAAGATTACAAATCGCGTACAGGTGACATTTTCCTATAATCCACAATGCATCTGTTACAGTGAAATACAGTACAGAAGAAATGTTACATTATAGTACAAGTGACAGTTCAGTAGACCAGTCCATCTACTTCAACACCATACACTACAGAGGTCTGAGTATTAACAAACAGTACAGATGACAGTTCAACACAGTCTTAATTTTACAACAGCACAGTACACAGGGCTGAAGGTTTCAACAATTTAAGTAGGAATCTACATCAGAAGCTGTAGGCAGCACAAGAACAAGTCCAGGTTTCTTCCCTGCTGAAAAGAGAAGAAAGGAAACAATATTTCAGCTGGGGTTTGACAGTTAAGTATTAGAGTAGAGTACAGGTTTCAGTTTGGCACACTGGGTGTATTATTACTTTGTAGTACAGTACCCATGGCAAAATATTAAAACAACACAGTAGCCAGGTCTGAGTACTACAGTAGATTACAGGTGACAGTTTGGCACACTGCTGTGTTTATTACACTATCATACAACAGACAAGGCTGGTGCAACACAATACAAGTGACAGTTCACAGGTCTGGGTATTACAACAACATACGAAACATTTAACAGAACAGCACAGTACACAGGGCTGAGTATTACACTAGAGCACAGGTGACAGTTGTGG